AGTTAGATTATCTGCTCTTTGAAGGACACTTTTTGCTCGACTTTGTGGCACTGTGAAGAAATAGAAAACACAACTAAATATATTTATATAAATAAAATAATACAAAAACCGCCCAATGCATCATTGGTTTATCTTTGAAGTTCCATTCCATTTGTGCCAGTTGATGCTGATTTTCCCCATGAAGTGATGACATAATAATAACCATAGTAATGGCCACGAGCATAGCAGTGATAGCTGTTGCTGAATTGAGCACCTACTAAGTGCTAGTCCTGTGCAGAGACCCTCCGTGTCTTATCTCATTCCGTCTCACTCAACTGTTTAAGGCACGTACAACCACAAATTCCAGTTTTCCCAGTAAGGAAATTGAAGCAGAGAGAGCTAAGCAACTTGCCAGGTCACATAAGCACTTACCATTTGGTAAGAGCAGGGATTTGAACTCAGGCAGTCTGGCTGCATTCTCATAACCAGGATGGTGGTGGCATAGAGTCTCCGTTTAAAATGCAATTATATAAGTATTTTTGGTGAGTGATTTGGGCGGGGGGAAAGCAGTACAAATGGTACTTGGATATGCTAAAATTCATGAAGATGCCAGCGAATGATTAAATTTCCAAAAAACAAAACGAAACAAACCTAGCCCAACTCAACGTGCACACAAGGAAAGGCCCAGAGAGGGAAGGCACCTACTCAAGGTGGCACAGTGATGTGGAACCCGGGAAAGCAAGTGTCCCAGGAGAGGCTGGGTGGAGTGGGGAAGGCTGGGAAGGGGTGCTGGCTTCATTGATTTAGTGTGTCTGCGTGTTCACAGGTGTCAGTCAGGGTCCTCTAACTCTGGGTTTCCATTCCCACTGCTGTCCTCAAGATGGCGTGGGTAGGGGAAAACTCTCAGGGTTTGGCCTTGTTTTGGAGGGGAAGAGCATTAGAAGAGGTGGCCAGGCCAGATGAGCCTTTCCCTGTTCTGCCAACTTGAAGACGCCCCTCTCCCTGTCCCTGACCTTGCCTGGCACCTCAATGTGAAAGTAGCCCTTCCTGGGCATGCACACTTTTGACATCAAGAACTTGCGGTACATCATCCCTACCACGTTTACATTATGACAGTGGTGAGACCCTCCTTCCTTCAGAATGGGGGTTGTAGACATACATTCCTTCCACGACTGGTAATGGGGGCCCTACCCTGTGCCCAGTGCTGTGTGGGTGCGGGGGCAGAGTGGTGACCCTGACATTGGTCCAGTCACCATTGGTCACAAGTCCCCTGTGTTACAGCCTCCTGGCACTGGACTCTTGCTGGGATGGAGAAGTACCATATTCCTCCTCCTCAAAGCCCGTGTTTTATCTCCCTGTCTGAAGGGACCTCATTTGTAAAAATGATTTTTCTGCCCCAAATAAGCTCCGTTTACTCTGGATTCTAGTTTATTCTCATCTTGCTTTACATCCCTCAGTGACAGATGGACCCAGAGCTTGCAAGCAGTCTGGGCCAACCAGAATGGGTTCCATTAGGCATTTGAAGAGTTGAAAATCATAACCCATGGGTTCTATTACTACACCGGACTGGAAACCTCTGGTCTTGTCCAAAATGTTTTACAGATGGAAAAACCTGTGGTTCAGAGAGGGACGTTTTGTTTGTCCTTCCTCGGCATTTACTGAGCACCTGTTTTGGCCCAGGCCCCGTGCCAGGAACAGGAGACCCCGGAGGAAGAGGAGCTGATGCCCCCCGCTGTGGCAGTTCCCGCGCTGCTGAAACACATGGTCCCAGGCTTCGTAGCTTAACGCAGCATCCAGTTACTATCTTGCAGTTGTATAGATTGGAAGTCCAACACGGGTCTCACTGGGCTCAAACCAAGGTGTTGGCAGGCTGCACTCTTTTCGGGAGACTCTAGAGGAGAATCTGCTTGCCTTTTCTAGCAGCTAGGAGCAGCCCGCGTTCCTGGGCTCTTCCTCCATTTTCACAGCCAGCAACATGGCATCTCTCTGATCCTTCTTCCAACGTCACATTTCCCGCCCCCGATTCTCGCCTCTTCAGCACCCTCTTGAACTTTGGAGACCCCTTGTGATTGCCTGGGGCCCACTGGATAATCCAGGATACTCTCCCTATCTTAAGGCCGGCTGATTCTCCATGCTTATTCCATCTTTGCCTTGTGGGGAAACAGACTGACAGGTTCCGGAGATTAGGACACGGGCATCTTTGGGGGCCACTATTCTGCTTACCAGCCCTGTCCTCAAGGAGCCCAGAGTCTTCAAGGGAGACGGCAATCAGCATGGGAACCTCTATGATGGGGCCCAGGAGAGGGGACACCTGGCCTGGGAGTGTGGGGGAGGGAAGTCAGGGGAAATCCCATGGAACAAATGAGGGCTGACTCAACTCTTGAAGAATGAGAAGGAGTTAGCCAGGTGAAGAGGGAGTGGAAGTGGAAGGTATCCTGGGAGGAAGGAACGGCATGTGCAGAGGTCTGGAGGTAAGCAATAGAATGCAGGTGGCCCTGTGGCTGATGCATTAGAGAGGCAGACGGGCTTGGGGGTGGGGGGGGGGAAGTGAGGCCAATGCCAAAGTCACAGGGGACCTGAATACCCAGAGGCTGTTACTTTCCTGAAGGCAGTGGGGATACTTCCGTGGTCAGGTTTGCATTTGAGAAAGATCACTGTGGGTGCCTGGTCCAGAATAGTTGGAAGTGAGGCTGCCTAAGGTTGGGTGGCAATGGGGAGGGGAGTCAGTGGAAGAGACAGGGGTCAGGCCTGGGTCAGCGCAGGGACAGGGGAGCAGAGCAGAACTGGTGGGTGAGCTGCTGGCTGTGGGAAGAGTAGAGGATGTGGCTGAGGGTTGTGTGTGAGCAGAGGAGGCAAGAGGAAGGGCGGGGTGATGAGCAGATTTCTGGCCTGGGAGTCTGACTGGACTGTGGGGCCATCACTGAGGTAGGGACATGGGGGAGGGGTGGGTTTAGGGACATATGGAGTTGGGTTTGACGTGTTGATGATCTGTGCCTGGTGGACATCTAGGGAAGGTCTCCAAGAGGCAGCTCGTTATGTGAGTCTGGATCTGTGAGCTCATGTATCAATTATATTAATTTATATCAATCAGTTATTGCTGTGTAACCACTCCAAAACTTGGTGTTAAAAAACAGCAATTATTTATTATCGTTCACGCACCTGCATGTTGATGCACCTGCACGTTGACTACAGGTTGGGCTTCACTGATGGCTCACCTTCAACCTGCAGGTCCGCAGGTCTGTCAGATGGTGGGATTTGGGGATGCTGACCTCCCCGTTCCCTCTGGCCCTGACCTGAATGCCCCCATCATTCCTCCACTCCACCTTGGACCAGTGGATGACACTGAGCAAAGACTGCCAGAGGTGAGGGAATGAGGATGTCTTGAGGAAGCGTATTCTAGACAGAGGGAGATGCCAGTGCAAAGGCCCTGAGGTGGGATGGTGCCCAGTGTGTTTGAGGAACAGGAAAGAAGTCCACTATGGCTGGAGGGGCTGAAGGAGGGGTAGGGGTAGCAGAGGAGGTCAGCGAGTTAGCAGTAGCCTCAATCATATGGGGCCTGGGAAGTCATGGGAGGTGGCCACTACCCTTATTATTACTCCTACGATCACTTTTCCTACTCTTCTCCTATCCCCCACAGGACCCCGCATCCCTGGACGCAGCCATCCAGCATGCCCTGGCAGGCCTCTACCCCCCTTTTGAGGCGACGGCGCCCACCATCCTGGGGCAGGTGTTCCGTCTCCTGGATTCTGACTTCCAGGGGGATGGGCTGAGCTTCCTCCTGGATTTCCTAATTCCTGCCAAGCGCCTGTGTGAGCAAGTGCGTGAAGCAGCCTGTGTAAGTTGGAAGGGACGGCGGGGCCGGGGAACAAGCACTCCCAGAACCAGGGGGCTGGAGGTGAGCAGAGAAGGAAGTGGGCTTGTGCGTGTCTTGTCTCAGAGCAAGTACTGAGGACATGGGATGGTTCTCCCGGTACCGTTGCTTTGCCCAAGTGGAGATGTCAGCCCCCCAGTGGAGCAGGAAGCTCGCTTGGCCCTTTGCTCTCTGATATCTAGGAGTCAATCACGTTTATCCTTTCACTAGCAGGGAGTAAATCCTGGATAAAAGGCATCCTTGTGGGGTGGCCCCTGGGAGCCTGCCCTGGTGCTGGCACTGTAGGCATCACCAGGCTGCCTTGGCTGAAGTAGGTCAGCTACAGTGGAAATAGCAGAGAACGTTCCAGATCTTTCCTGGAGCCCTTGAGGCCTCAGGACTCACTTTTGTCCCAGGAGACCTCTTTGAACCCAGATCTCAGGGAGACCTCTCTAAGGCAAAGGGGAAAGAAAAGTGTTTTAGGTAGGTCTCAGTGGCTGCAAATGACAGATCTTTACTCAAGGTTGATCTGGCCTCAGCCCCGAGTTGATACACCAATCAAACCCCTAGGGATTTCTGTCTTTTGTCTCTGCTTCCCGTTGCTTGCCAACATCATTCTTACAGGCTAGATGTCCCCCCAAGACTGGGATCAACTCCCATCCTGGAGAGGAGAAAGAACTCTTCCGCATCAGCTGCAGATAGTAAAGTTGCCAGGAAGGATCCTGATTGGCCAGGCTTGGGTTGGATGTCCGCCCCTGGACCAATCACTGCAGCCAGAGAAATGGGATAGCGGGGTTGGCCAGGCTTGCATCATACGCCTACGTCTCTGGTCAGAGGTGATGACTGTTTTAAGGGTGGGGACAGGCCTTTGGAGACCAAACCCTCAGACGCCCGTTGCAGGAACTTGCCCACACCCTTCACGGGGTTGCCAGCTGTGCCCTGCTCTGCTGTTAATGCCCATCCCCCCGCTGCCCCAGCCTTGAGCATCACTAATAGGTTCATCGGTCCCGCTGGCTCCCGTGTATCAGGGACATGATACACCAGGGGCAAAAAATAAGAGTGGGGACTATGCACATCATTTCAGTGGTAGCAAGGAATTGAATACGGCAGCTAGAAGCTCAGGTTTGGGAGCCGGAACTAGAGATGGTTGGAACTGGAAGGAGACTGAGATGCTTCATTTCCTGTGCTCGGGGCGGTTCCTGGCACACAGAAACAGTGGCATACACAGTCATTGTTATTGCAAGAGAAGGAAGATTCTCACTGAACACCTGCTGCCAACTCCCACTTATCCACCCTGACACTATTTTATGCATATCCTGCGCCCCCCGACTCGTTCCCCGTGACAAGCTCTACAACTCCGCCCTTCCCTTTTTTGGCCGTTAAAACTGCATTTGCATGGTCTCCTTCCCCATTTCTTCCAGGAACGAGGGTCACAACCTTTTAATTTCTCTATTTTTAATTATGGGCGATTTTAATTATAATTATAGGTGAATTCATATCACCTCCGAGCCGGGGGCGGGATTACTAATATGGCAGCAGGAGTGAGGTGCCCCAGGTTCAAAACCAGTCTCTGTCACTGTGGAGCTGGAGAATCACCCTCTGAGCTTCAGTTTCCTTAATGGGAAAGTGGGAATGTTGATAACACGGTGCCTACGTCCCAGAGGTGATACACAGCCTGGCACAGAGCCTGGCATGCAGTAGGTGCTTAGTAGCCGTTGACTGTTACTGTCCCACTTCCTCCTTTCTCCCCTGGAAATAAGAATGTGCCAGCCTTAAAGTCGGCCCTGGTAAAGGCCAGCACCCGGGGGCAGCCAGCACCCTCAGATGGAGTCCAGTGGGGGATCAGGGACAGACAAAGATGACTCCTAATGTGAAGGCCTAGGCACAAGTCCTGTTTATGCTGCTCTCAGCTGTGTGACCATGAGCCGGTTCTTTCACCCCCCTGAGCCTCAGTTGTCCTCATCTGTACAGTGGGGACAACGAAGCCTAAACACCCTGCCCCACCGAGTGACTGTGAGGTTCAAATAAGTGGATCATAACCGCCACCTCTAGGGTGCGTTGCTGTTTCTCAATACTGCTGGGTTGTTCAATACTGCCTTGTTCAATGAGAAGGTGAGGGAAAGCAGGTTGTAAACCGCAGAGAGCTCCGTGGAAGTAGTGGAGAAACTCGCAGACTCGAGGGGTTTATGGATAGGAAGGTTCCCTGCGGCAGCCAAATCTACAGTGTCACTGACGGGAAGGAACTGGTTTACCCACTCGGGGTATAAGGGTGGTCAGTTCTTGCGCCAACATTAATCAACACGGGAAGCACCTGCTTCATTAATGGGAACTGCGGTGTCATTCTCTGGAGCTCTCCCACATACACATCCAAATTATGTAAGATTATCCCGGTGTTACTCAATCCACAGGACTCTTCCGAAAGCCAGGTAGAGAGAGAGAGAGACCTGTTTGTCAGACCAGTGAGGCTGTTGCTTGCTGAGGCTGTTGTTGCCACATGGTGTCGCTGTGGGGCGCGGGTCCCACACAGCCCGGCGGAGCGGCTCCATCAAGAGAGATCAGTGTCCAACCCGCTCCAGGATGCCCTGCTGTGTCCACCTACATGGAGAATTGCTGGCACCTCCTGTTTAAAAAAATTTTTTTAAGTTTTGCCTCACCTGCCATGTCGTTACTCAGTAAAGGAAAATAAATAAATAAATAAATCATAAACAAATAAATAATAAACATTCAAGCCCAGAATAGTGGAATGATTTTTTTTTTTTCAAGGTCATCCAGCAAGGTAGTGGTGGGGTCCTATTTCCTGGCTTTTCACTCAGTATTGTTTCGACTTCATTCTGTAATCTCTCTGCTTAAAAATTATAGAATGGTGTAAATGCAGTAACTGACCCTCTTATTTTTTAATGGAAAATTCCATTTTTTCAAAGGGTAAATGTCAAAGGGAGAGGAAATTATTATTTATTGAACACCCACTTAGTGTATGCCAGGCATTGTGTTGTGGGGTTTTTTTTACATATACATAAAATCTCACTTAATCCCCGTACCAACCCAATCGGATTATAAATATGGTCATTCCTATTTGCAGATAGGAAAATTGAGGCTTAGAGCGGTTATGTAATCTGCACAAATCAGTGATTCAGACCTTGGGATCCACCTCTTCCTGGCTCTAAAATGAAGGGCTCAGACTTGATCTGGGTTGAGAGAAGTTTCGGATGGATGGGGAGAAGGGACCGTGACGCGAGCAATACGATCCTCGTGGGAAAGGCTCCTGTTAATTAGCATCTGCCACTCAGAGCTTTTCTCCCTTGCCAGTAGGCTAGCAAGCATTTTTAAGGTCAGGTTCAGGACTAGGGTGAGGCAGGAGAGGCATTTGCTCTAGGGGTCGTGCGTCTTGCAAGACCCTGAGATGGGGGGTCCCTATTGCTGCATCTTAGGCACCTCTCTTGCCTCCCTGCCCCGCTCCTGATTCCATCTGGGAGAGGGAAGGAAGCAGACCGATGGGCAGGGCCTTTCAGGGCAGGATTCTCTGACGTCACCCTCACCCTTCTGTCCCCAGGCCCCGTACTCACACTGCCTCTTCCTGCATGAGGGCTGGCCTCTGTGTCTGCGGGGTGAGGTCGTGGTGCACCTGGCCCCCCTCAACCCCCTCTTACTGCGCCAAGGGGACTTCTATCTCCAAGTCGAGCCCCAGGAGGAACAGTCTGTCTGCATCATGATCAAGTGCCTCTCCTTGGACCTCCGCACAGTGGACACAAAACCTGTTCCCGTGTCATCCTACCCTATACTTTTCACCCAGACGTGGCTGGAGGCCATCAACAGTGACTTTGAGGGAAGTCCCCTACACAACTGCCTGGTCGCTTCAGAAGATGGAGTTGTCCCTGTGCCCTGGACCAAGATAACCAGCCCAGAGTTTGTGGATGACAGACCCCAAGCAGTGAATGTCGTCTCCCCAGCCTGGGGGTCCCTTCAGTTAGAGGCCCTTGATTTGAGCAGCCCTCTGGAGCTGCACCAGCCCAGGTCCCCAGGCAGCCAGGTGTTGCTTGCCCGGAGCTTGGCCAAGGGCAAGGGCGGGACATATGGAAACAAGTACCCAGGACTCATCAAGGTGGAGCCAGCCAGGCCTGGGGAGGTGGCCTTTAGGATGGACCATGTGGCCAGCCAGGAGTTGGAGGGAGACTATGTGGTCCTCCTGGAGAGCAGAGGAGGGTCTCCCAGTAGGGAAGTGGAGACATCCAGTGAATGTCCTTTGGGGGCACTGGAGGAACTCTCCAAAACTAAGGAAATCCCTTTCTCTCAAAGAATGCCATCTCTCTCAGGGACCAGTGGGGGACCTTCCTTGAAAAAATGGGCTTGTGAGAAGCCAGCAAGCTCAGGAAAGGAGCCCTGCATTTTGGGCTTGAGGAGAAAGGTCAACCATAAAGTTGACTTACCCACCCACCACTCAGAACACCAGCCCCAGGAGCCCTACCTCAACGTCCTTGAGAAGCCACTGCCCTGTGCCTCTGGCCTCGAGGCAGGTAGTTCATCTTCCTCCAAGATGCAGGGACCTCTGGGAAACCCAGAAGATACAGTCCAGCCCATGCCTGAACCAAAGCAAGCATCCTCCCTGCACGTGTGCCCAGCTTCCCCTCCTGCTGAAGCCAAGAAGGAAGAGAGGGCCAAACAGGGCCATGGGAGACCTCCCAAACCTGGCACTGGCCCCAGTCAGAATACCTCCTCTTCCAGATCCCCCACTCCTGGGCTCAGATTCTCCTTCTTGAAAGGGCAAAGGCAAGCCCCGGGGCCTCCAGAGAAAGCCTCACTCCAGCAGGACGGGCCCTGGAAAGCCTTGTGTTCACTCTACTCTCCCAAACCCCACCGAGCCAAGTGCTTGGGGAAAGGTAAGTCGCCCACTCGCTCAGCTGGACAGGGGACTGTTCTCTGGACATGACCAGGTGACAAGGAGGCACGGGTTGCCAGGGACAGAGACACCCTCCCCCCCGAACTGGCTCAGTGCACAGATGGCATTCAAGAGGCTGGAAGTCTCGGGGATCTGGAACGGAGCTGTAATGAGCCGGCCCGAGTCCACACCCAGCTCGGCCCCACACCGGCTGGCAGACCTTGGTCAAGGACTCCTTCTCGGTGCGTGTAGGTCCCACCTGCCTCACACAGTTGTTTTGAGGTTCAAAGACACACCAGAGGGCGCCGGGGTGGCTCAGACGGTTAAGCGTCTGCCTTCGGCTCAGGTCATGATCTCAGGGTCCTGGGATCGAGTCCCGCATCGGGCTCCCTGCTCCTTGGGA